GAGGAATAAATCTTACAGAGGGTTGTGTGAAATCACAAGCTCTTATGCTGCTCAAAGATCACAAATACAAAGTGAGTCCACTGAAGTCAGGATGAACCCTCCCCAGTTTTACATCATTGTATCCAAAGTCAGACTGTCACTGAGATAAGTCATTTTATAGAGGAGAATACGGCAAAAGCGTTGGGTGGTTTCACAGTCAGAGGCCATTTGTACTGTGACTAGGGATTACTCAGCAAATCATTTGAAACCTATCCTGATAATTGGTGGATGTGTTCCTTGTTAGCTTCTGTCCCTTGACAGAAATGCAGAATGGAATTTCAACATAACGCAGATATATGGTGTGCATGGTCTGGGAAGGAAGAAGTTTCACTGCACAATACTTCTGTCACTGTCAAGCACTCAGGTCTTCATTATGCTCACCTCCTTTGCATTGCAAGGATCCAACATAGCAAAAGGTTACCTCAGATGGGAATGGTAGGGTGATGGAGATCAACAGGGCTATGATTTAGCAAGGGAAAGAAGGAAAATAGAAGCATAAAAAGAATCTTAAGAGAAACCTCTGCTGGGGCTGTTGGATATAAAAGCTCTGGGGTGCCTGTGAAGCTAATGATTAATTGAAAGTAAAAGCTCTGTGATGGCTGACATGTGATGTGATTAATATGTTGAAAGGAGTCCCTAAAGGGTAGAGCTGCCTTTAATAATATATTAGGTATTATTGGCTGCCCCATTGTACCTTCTGGCACGGTGGGACGCTGGGTGTGGTGCAGCTGAGCGTCAGCCCTTGCTAGTTCATTGCCAGGTCATCTCTGGGGAGGAACTGTTCCCTGTTTACAGGAAATGCAGGACAAGGGCCGAAGGGCTGGGCTGAGCACAAGCTGAGGCCACCACAGCTCACTGCCTCTCCCTCATGGCTGGGAGAGCAGGAAGGGGGTATGCCACTTGTCTGAGGCCCAAGGACACTGTTTTGTTTCCAGGCACGTCCAGCTTTTACTGCTGCTTTGTTTTACCTAGTGTTTTAAAACCACAGGACTGGGGAGAGTAATGGTGCTCACAGACAGCAATGCACCCCAGGGTACGTCACTGAGCCTGAAGTGTGGATTGGCTACACAGGTGCCTCAAAGCAAAAGCCTCAAATCTATCCATCCTGGCACATCTGGGACATGGCTAGTGAAACCTCACTCTCAGGCTTTCTCTTATCCCTTCTCTACTGATAGTGCCCCAGGCTGGGCCAGAGGACATTCCTTAAGATGGAGCCCAAACACCTTTGTGCTTCCTGCATTCCCTTCCAAAACTAGAGCTGCACCAGCACTGTTGTTCTGTGACCATCTCCAGGAGCAGTGGTTGAAGCTGGGAGAGTTTTGTCCCTAAAGTTGTCTCGAAAACAGCAAAAGCCTTATGCACCTGATCAAAAATCCTCTTTCCCTCGCCTGTATTCTGTAACACAACAATGTAAGAAAGAGCAATATTCAAATTGAAATGCTTGTGGAATTAGAAAGAGCACCTTTCTGGCCTTGCCAGACAAACAGCTTATGCCTCAAAGTGTGAAATGTGATTATCCCTGTGTTACCTTGCCTTGACAGGCTGTGTATGTTATTAGCAGGCGTCATGTCTTTCTTGACCTTTTCAGACTTCAGGTACAATATTTGCCTGATGATCTGCCATAGGGAACTGACTAGCTAAACATATGCTGCACTAATAGGCATTATGCTGCACTAATAGGCATTTCCTTTTATTGTCTTTAAATGCATTTGGACTTCATTTTCCTTTATTAATGAGCCGTCATTTTGCAGAATGAATTAAAACAATCATTTACAAATTGATACAGGGAAATAAATAATCAGTTTTAATAAAACAGGGTACTTCAGCACCCCATTGCATCTCCCAAATTACTCAATCACTGCATTAAGTTCAAGTTCATACTATTTTAATTTTTTGCAATAAGAATGTCACTGTCGGAGAGTTTGAACTGGTAACTACTGGGCTTGGGACTTGAGATAGGGACAGAGATATCGCATGCAGAAAAAAGCAGCATTCAATCCTATTGGCCAAACAATGGAGGGCTGAGGTCTTTGCAGGTGTTAATTATTTTTCCTTCTGACTGGATGGCATAAATTTTACATATGTGGGTTTGGCATAACCCAGCTGTGTCCAGGTGAGATTCTGGTCTTGCATCCAATACATTATAATTAGTTATGAGCTAAGATTCCTGTGACAGAGGAGTTTAAATGGGCACAGGGATGGAAATGTTATGGCAGCAATTTAGTAGTCATTTGTAAATTTAGCATGTGTTATCTGAATTGATATGTCAAGCTCATCACCACTCAGCTGGCTTCAGGGAAGATATACTTGTAGAGGATGTACTCTACAGAGAAAGAATAACTGTACCTTTCAAAGTAGTTCATATAAGATTGCTTTGGTGACTCAGGTCAAATAATTGCCAATGCAAACACCAATACACACAGAAAAACATTTAGGGTCACAACTGTCGTTCATTTCAGAGCTTTGGTGGATCTAGGTCTAAATGAACTCAACACTGCAGCCATTCTCTCTTACGCAAATATTTGAAAGGATTGTCTTTTAGCAGTCCAGAAACATGGCTTCGCTAATGAATGGATGAAACATCCTAGACAAAAAGACATTCTGTTACCTCGCAACAGGCAGAGCAGAAGCTGGTGCTTACCTCAGAAACCCAGAGAGTTCACTTTCTTCCTATTGCCACTATGTGTAAACATTGAATATGGTGAGCCCTGTGTTGATAGTTACTGACAAAAGCACCTTTAATATACTGGTAGGAATGGAACCAGGGATGTGATTTCTAGCCTCTTCTACTGCTTCCTTCATCTTGTGGTGAAATTTTTGGCCAAATACTGTCATGATCTTTACTTTCAGACACTTTTGAAACCATAAGAAACTTTCAGAAAATATATTGGGAGCTCTTTGGCTTTCATGTATATTGCTGGTAATTAATTTGCATCATCAAATTTGCAGTTTGCAACAGATGCAAAGAAAATAACTGTTCTCTCTTTCTCTGTCCTGACACTGACTGGGAAGATAGAGTGAAAGACCACAGGGAGGCAGCAAGGAGGTAATCCAGGTAGTCTGGGTGTCTGAATGCTGAACAGATACCTGTTAGCCAAATGATGTCACAATGGTTGAAACATCAGCACACCCTAGACACTGTTTTTGGGACACATTAAGCAAGATATCCTTTGCTGACCGCTTGAGTTTTATTAGCTGGGATCATCCTTTAGGCAGTATGTACCTTATGGAGACAAATTATTAGTTCATTTCAAATATGAACACAGCAGAGGTTCCTTAAGTGCTGCACTTGTTCATACCCTTTTTTAGACTGAAATATGAGCTCCTGGACTCCGCGCATGAGGGAAAATCTGGAGGTAGAACAGAAAAGCTGACAACCACACTTGCATGGGAGACACATAACCCTGTTTGCAGCTTAGAGATAAATGCAGATATCTAGGGAGTTTCCTTTCTGAAAGGAAATAAGAATCTGGTCAGTGACCTTGGGAGTCTCATCATTGTCCTCTCACTTAAATTAGCTCATCTTTGCCCAGCCTTCTGTTACTCTAGTATTGGCTTTGATGCTGTGTTCACATCTGGGATCTCCAAGCAGATTAAAGAAGATTAAAGGGATGAAGCAGAGATGTGAAAGGAAGTTAGTGTTTCAGAGGAAATGAGAAGTATAGAAATAATATAAACTGAGTCATCCAGGCCCACGTTACCAACTGACCCGCCTGGCCAACATGTCTACTAGAAAACATGGCGATGTCAGATTTTGTTTCTCAAGACAAAAGACTCACCCTCTTGGTTGAACACAGGAACCTTGCCCTAGAAATGTAAAAAGCTCGGGGCCACTGTGGTGTATAAGCTGTATATAAACTCCTAGAGTGACACTGTGGTCAAAAAACCAAATCTGATCCTTGAATGTGAAAACTCAGTAAAGTCAGGTAGGAATAGATGGGTGTTACAGCTTATATACACGGCTTGGTACTCATTTTTTGCCAGTGCTGGAATAATGAGTTACGTGTTGCAGTACCAAGAGCAGTATCAAAACTGGATGGCAGCAAAAGTTGATGTTAAAATGATTGGTAAATTGAATAATGCTAATAATAATTGGATGAAGTTCAGAGATTTTAGAATTATTAAATCATAAGCGGCATGACATAGTAAGACACCAAAATCTTCACCTATTTCAAAAGTCAAAATTAAGGGACAACTTGAATACAGCTTGTGAGTACACAGTAACAAAATCTGAAAGACTGGCCACCAGTTCAGCAAAGGTTTAACAAGATCCAGCAACTGGAATTTGGAGCTAGGCATATACAGATCACCTTTAGTCATGCTTTGGGGAGGTTTTGAGATCACTGGCAATTTTAATTGAAAAAAGAATTTTTTTTTTAAATAAAATGCTGTGAAGCCACAGGCCTGTATTGCACTGGCCTGTGTTTCACACCAGGTCCAGTACTCTTAACCGCACAGCTTTTTCTGGGTTTCTGGAGCTGAATTCATGTTCCCTTGAAACAGTCCAAGGATTCTGGAAGCTGAGTATCTTGTAGTTTAAATGATGACATTGGTATTACCATTATACTTTTCTTGTCCTTTTGATGTTTTCCCAGAAAGCCCATTGCCCCAGTATCTAACTTCCATTTTAAAATGTTAGTGTGATTTTACTGAATCTATTTTGAGGGGTTGACTACGGAGGAACAAAGCAGTTCTGCTTCCAACTAAGTATGAAGTTTTTACTCCAAACTGGGCCAGAACAATCATCTCTTGGGGAAGCTTGAACGAGTTCATTTAACTTCCCATTGCTCCTTTCAGAGTCTTGCCTAAAATGGTTGCCTTTGAACATAGCAGCCAAAAAAAACCCCTGCTTGATAAATCCTGCTTTCCAAGCCCTGCAGTTCTGCAGGGATTCTGTATGTCTGAGCAACAGTGAGTCTGGAAATAACACCATTGAGCTAGTCTGTTCTGTTTTTCTGCAGTGCCTACACTGAGCCCTACAAGGTGTGCCCAGTCTCTGTGACACCAATGGAAGTAGTCACATCAGATGAGGAACAGAAGAGTTCAGAAGATGATGAAAGTAGCCTTGGTGATCCCAGTCTCACCAACAAGGTAAAAAAACTCTAAAAGTGGTTAATGCATGAAACCTGGAGAGGGAAAAGCAATTTGCAGAAGATCCTGGATTCTTAGCTGTCCATTTTTTGTCTGACATTCACTTAGAAATAGCAGAGCCATCAGTCCTTTGCTCCCCCACTGCACTAGGAATAATTTACCTCTACAGCACATGGCAAAGGCAAAGAATGTAGTCTGAAGATGGACAGTGGAGACAACATAAACAGCAAGAAAGGCCTGACTTGAATGTCAGGAAAAAAGTCTCACTCCAAGCATTTAGTTTCCATCTTGAGAATTTAAAATTACATTGAATCAAAAAAGACTTATAGAGAAGACCTGCACTGTGCACAAACAGGGACCAGTAAGCAGAGTCTCAAAGGTCTCAAAACAAGCAAGGCAGCTACTGACTCAAAAGCAGCAGTACATAAGAATGTCTTTGCTGCTCCTTACACATTTCCACTGGTTTCCAGACTCCAGGAATCATTCTGTTTTGCAAACCTTTAGCATATTAAAATATGCACTCCTGTGCACATACATAAAACTGAAACATGCTGGAGTTGGGAACTACAGACTTGTGTGCCTTGAGGAAGCACCTACTTCAGATGCCTTTCAAGGGACAGCTCTTGATTTATATAATTATGCAGATCCTCCAGGACAGCTGCAATCTAGCTCTTCAAGGATGGATCTGGAAGACAGATATGGACTACTTTTCCTTCACTCTGATTCGCAGAGCTAACCTGAAAAAGCAAATTGTTCTTGTAATGCCTCAGTTTACTTACCATTAGCGCTGCTGTAAACTGCTACATAGTGCATAACAATTACAAATGGGGCATTATGAAGTCACTCAGATAGCGAAGCTTATAAAACTGCTATGAGCCTCTGACTGTGGCAGTAGCCCTCTTGTCTGAGTACAATCAAGCTGCAATACACCAGAATACAATCAAGCTGCAATACACTCTGAAGTACAACACACACATAGTAAAATGCATGAGGAGATGAAATTTATCCATGTTAGCACGGCAAGTTAGTGGCACACACAGCAATGGAGCTTCTGTTTCCATGTTTTCATGAGTTGCCCTGCTTTGAAATGCAGTACAAAAGAGTACTCCAGAGAAGTGACTTGCACAGTGCTTCTGATTTAGAAAATTGTTCTATGAGCTACTTGTGCAGCTCTTAGGCCAAACAACTCCATCCTAGCCCTATGGAGGCAGTTTTGCCTCCAGCCCCACAATTTTTTTAAGCTAGATCTGTTTAGCTCCATTTTTTAAGGAGACCAGTCTGGTTCTGATCGAGGTTGTGCAAACAGCTGGGTCAGCACAACTGAGAACTGGCACTATGTTTAGAGGGGAGTGACTGGCACTGTCACCAAAGTGCCATCAATCTTTATGATTAATATGTCATAGGCAAAATTCAGGGACTTCAGGGTCATGTGGTCTGTCCAGAACAAGTCTGAGAGTGTCTCTATGTGTTGTCTGTCTTGGGTTATTTAATTGCTGTTTGCTTAACCAGGAAATTAACTCTGAGATACACAACAGTGTTTGTAGATAGATTTCTACAAACAGGGGATAGAGTGGGTGCAGGTCCCTCAACTATTCACTCTCTGAAACAAAGTCCAAGTGATTATTATAAGACTGCAAAGCTACCAGCATTTTAGAAATCTTTACTCCCTGCAGCCAGTCATGTGCCTAGTCCTGTGGTATAGCTCTCTCCCAGCTCCCTCTTCAGTAGCTGCCCTCTGGGCCTTGCTCCAAGCCTTTGCTTAGCAGATGGAGGCCATGGCAGCCATGTAGGGACCCTTGACTTCCTGCTTCACTGAGTCTTCTTACCAGCGGACTTGGTCTGGCAAGCAATGTCACTAAGACTTGATACTGCACTCATTTCCTGAGTCCACTTTAAGTCACTGAGGGCTGCATTTCTTTGCAACTACTAGACCACTGTTTTAGCTCCTTACTTCATCACAGCTGAAAAAGTCAAACTTTGTCCAGTACATTCCTTTCAGTACATATTTCTATGCTTTAGCCATCTCTTACCATAAGGATGAATCATGAATTAGTGTTGTTGTTCTATTTCTAGAGTCCCATACTGTTATCAGATTCCAAAAGTCCATACCTCCTTGGTGTGTTCTCATAGCTGCAGATCTCCACAGCACAGACTCCTTCTTCTGCATGTTGCTCTCTCTCTCTCTCAGTTCAGGGTTCCTTCAAGGCTCTCCCTGACTGGCTGACCCGCCCCCTTTTTATCCCAGTTATCTTCATTGGCCACAGCTGCAGCCCAATTAAGGACATCACAGCTGCAGCCCATCAAGGACAACTGGGACCTCCCAGGGCAAAGCCTCTATACACAGATATTCAAGTACAGATATTCAAGTACAATACATTTCCTCTACTATAAATTAGGAGCAAAATACTATTAGCCACTTGCACCTCAGAGCCATACAGTTTGCTTCTTTCACAGTTATCTGTTTCTTCCAAGATGCCAACCAGTTAAATAGATGCCTCTGAGATTTCAAACAATGTTGTCTGGTGAAGTACTGAACTAATTCTGGAGATATTTATTGCCATTTAGTTTAGACACTTTTTTTTAGTACTCAATAAAGCCCTTTATCCCATTTGCTTCCATAGGTCTCACTGACAGCAGTCAGAACAGTTTGGAATATGACCATTTTGATAAAGAACTCCCCTTTCCAGGTGGTATATCCTCAACAGCTGTGAAGCTAGCCTGTTCAAAGTTAAGCACTTTCTGCTTCTTTGACAAATTTTGGACCTGTAAAAATCCACAGAAAATTTCCTCCTTCAATAACGAGACATTTTTCAAACTTGCCATCTGTATTAGCAGCTATTACTTTGTACTGTATTACTAGTATTTGAATTAAGGAAAATGGCCTGTCTTCGAAAGTCCAGGATACCAGACACTGAACAACAAAGAATGAAGTCTGCTCACTATTTTTACTATAGAAAAAATATGTCAGTTTAAAGTGCTCTCTAACACTGCTTTACTTTGTAGAATGAGAAATCTCTTAATTGCTTCTGACTTCTTCTGTTGACAGAAAGAAGGCCAGTCCAGAGCTTACCTCATTGCCCAGGAACTAATGTCTTCAGAAAAAGTGTGAGTTTGTTTTTATAATCTACCTGTTGTGCTTCTAAAATTAAAGCTATGTAGTCCACCCTTCCATATTCATTTGATGGCAGTTAATAAAAGTTTGTCTCTCTCCCCAGATATGTGGAAATGCTCCAGTTGTTACGTATGGTAAGTAAATAATTTTCATCACTGAAACCTAGATACCCTTTTATTTATCTGCAATTTAAAAGACATAAAAGCACCGAAGGGATTTAAGTGAATTTGAGGAGGAATGGCTTACTGTGAACCATTCTAATCTATTATTTGTCATCTAGAGGGAAAAGCATTGGCCAATAGTTGGGGCTTCTTGAGGCTGAGACTGGTGTAAGGTGCATAACAAGCCTAGTGCAGAGAAGGAGATAACATGGGATATCACATCACAGAGATGGTGATAAACAGGGGTGGACACTCTCCCTTCACAGTGAGACAGATGGGATTAGAGCTATGAAGCATGGGGATTTGGTTTCAATGGACTCACTCTGCTTGCATTTAAGCTTCTCGTTTTCTAATAATGCAGTATTGGTAATAGCCAGTGTGCTCTGGGTATCCACACTGTGTCACAGTGTTTTGGTTTAAGACAATTTAAGAGGCAGATACTCTAAAATTAGTTACCTCCCCATTGATTTAACAAATCCCTTTCCACCAATAAGGAGAAAGGAACAGGAGTAGATATAAGTGAAAAAATAGCATTCTATAAAAAAGAAACAGCAACAGGCAAAAAATAACAGTAATCCTCACTAGTTACAAAGTTGTTGAGCTCTCAGGGATTACCGGAAACAAACATAAACTCCAAAAGGGCAGAGTAACCCCTCTCCCCAGACGACGCCCTCTGCAGCCCAGAGCGTGTCGGAGACAAAGGGAAAATGTCAGACAAACCCCTAAGACGGCGCCCTCCGCAGACAACTGCATGTGGGAAGACAAAGGACAAAGGTGGCAGCAGCCCTCCCCCCCTCATCTCTCCAGCAGCAACAGCTCCATTGACAAAGGTGGCCGGCACCCTCAGGCATCTGGAGTTTGGGAACTGAAGAACTCGGTGAATCTGCAGTGCCAGCCTCTCTGCCTGTCCCTAGGCTGGCGGCAGCCAACCAGCATCAGCACTGCGTCCTCCAAGCCACTGGTGCTGGTGCTCTCTCGGGTCCCTGTTCTGATGGGGCCTAGGGAGAAAACGGACTCTCAAGCACAGAAAGAGCAGTGGCTCAACCCCAACCAGTGCCAGCCTTGCGCTGCAGGCAGATGTTGCAAAATTCACTCTGAAAGCTTTTCATTTTGAAATGCAGCCTCTCATGTCTCTACCCAGTAGCAACTCTCTTCTAAGGCTAGAGGGAAACAAAAACAAGCCAAAGCCTCTACCTGCACTGCCTCAGCTATCTTGCCCTGCAAGAGCAAAAGGGAAAAGAGCAGAGCCAAGAGGCAAAAGAGCTCTGCTTGGGCAATGTGAACATGAAAAAGACAGGCACCTTCTGGTTCTGCTTCTGGCTGCGCCATGGGGTCTTAATGAGACAGTAACAACTTTGGTCTCAGGTATAGAATACCAAAACATTTTGGGTTAGCCAAGACACACAGCTAATTACCATGGCGAAAATACAGATTCTGGTGTCAGAAACATGTGAGAGAACACCCAGAAATAATCACTTTTAGTCCCTGATAGAGAATTCTTGCATGGCATAAATTGACTGGTAACTTAGTCCTGGAATACTCTGTCCCTTTAACAGATCTTCCTCTGCTTCCCTAAAGACTGGTACACAGCTTAGATGGCCTTGCTGTCAGTATCTTTCTTGGCTGTTAGTTGAAAGGTAATAAGGAATAATAGTCACTACACAAAGCATACTGCTGCTATTTCCACTGCTGCTTGGAAAGAAATTTCCTGAGAAGGGAAAAAGTGACCCCAGGTTGTCCTTGGAGGACATCTCAAGCACTAGCAGTGGAACAGGAACTCTTATGGAGACAAAAGTAATGAGGTTGGAACTCAAAGGATACTAAGTGTGACAATGTCACTGAATTGGGAGGAGCTGTCGATTCCCTCAAGGGCAGAAAGGCCTTGCAGACAGGCCTTGACAAGTTAGATAGGTGGGTCATCATCAACCACATGAAGTTTGACAAGGACAAGTGCCTGGGATTCTGTGCCTGGGACAGGGCAACCCTGGCTGTATATATATATACTAGGGAACAAGAGGCTGGAGAGCAGCACTGTGGAAAGCACATAGACAGTGGAGTGAGAGTATTTAGTGGAGGTGTCTAGGAGAGGCCTCTCATTTGCATTACATCCTGGCATTTTCCATACACCTCTAGGAGATAAAAGTGACTTACTAATGCCAGAAAACTTTTCAATAAATATATCCGAACTTGAAATGCCTTTCAGTGCCTTTACCCTCAGTATAAATGGTGCACACCCTCATGGCTGCTATAGCACCATGTTACTGTCAGGCTGCCTTGCCTACGCTCTTAGGCAGGAAAAAAATACTGCAGGACTTTTCCCCATCCCTTCCCTTTTCTGCTTCCTCTGGTAAATTCCTGTGTAGTGAAATTTGTTTCCCTGCCTGCCCAGTCCACTGGATTAAAGGGATCTTATGAATATTTAGCATGTTCTCATTATTTCCCTACTTATGAAAGAAGTTAAGGAAAAGAGAAAGTATGGACCAAAGTAAATGGACCAAAGTAAACCCTTGAATGAATGCACTGGTGGGCAAAGTTAAGCCACTTATTGGTTGTGAAATGTCAGAATAACTATAACCATGCACTGTGACATTCCCTGTCCCAATTCTCTGAGTCAGAAAGTTTGGTAAAATCTCATCAATTTGAGAACTGGCAGAACGCATCAGACAGACGAGCAGTCACCAACCGTATGAAGTTTAAGAAGGGCAAAATCACAATTTTGATTAATTATTTCCTTATATAGTGGAAAAGTTCATATATGTTTTGACCTATACACTCCTTTCAGGGTTACAGGAGGCATTTTTTCAGCAGAGCCAACAAGCAAGTTTCTCAGATAAGATTTAATTGTTTTTATGAGTTGGCTTTCTAACTAGTGAGGATGTATGAATGGGAAATCTTTATGGGAAAAGGCTCAGAGGGTATGTTTCTGAGTTTCATTGATTGTCTGTCACCCTGGCGTACCCCGTCTCTACTGGTATAAGCTGACATCTCTATGATACCTACCTACTGCAGTGGCATTCAGAAATAATCTGCAGGTTTCTCCAAATGTTTGCAAACATGTTCAATCTAGAAAACGCTGTCACTTTTTCTGTCTCAACTAGTGTTGAATCTTTGTATTCACCTGCTGCCCAGTGTATTGTTCAGAATATTTAGAGAAACTATTACCAATATTACTATTACAACATGCAAATCCCTTAGAATGTAGGGGTAATATTGGTTATTACCTAACCAAAGCAATATTTTCAATACTGCCGTGACACTTAAAGTTACAATAATTCTAATTGTTCCTTTTTCCGTATTTGAATAGTTTTAAGAATAATCACATCAGCAAAAAATCATGCTTTCCTGTGCACTTGCTATTGATACAAGTTCCACTGGCAGATTTCAGAAGCAACCAAGAGTGCCCACAGTCACCAAATTGATCTCAAGGTACAACACAACATTCATGGCCAGTTAGGACCTTCCTTGACAACATTCCTCAACCCAGGCATGCATTTCTGTTTCCCATCACCAACTTTCTGCAGAAAACAGTTTCTAAACACTTAGCATCAAGTCTCAAGTTTCATCTTCTCATGTAAATCCACATATTGGTAAGAAAGGCAAAGAACTAAACCACACCCTAGCTGCTTTCAGAAAGGAAAAAATGGCTTTTCTTAAGCCTGCAGCAAGACCGATTTCCCATCTCATTTCCAGGCTTGGCTAGTGCTGCTGTTCATTCAGCATAACAGATTCTGTTTGGCCTTTCAGTGGAGACTTTAATAAACTGATTGATTGCCAAAATGATGACATTTTCATACACCCACTCTGCTATTGAACTGAAAGACTGGAAACATTGTGTTAGCTCACAAACTTGGTATCCGTTGGTGTGGAAGTAGTGATAATAATCTAAAAGGTTAGCTGTTACTTGCCCTACTCAAAGGTAATACAGTTCTCTGGTGCAATGAGTTCAGGACCCATTCTGGTCTGAGCAGGTGGAACTGTCAGGGCCTTCTAGTCCAAGTTGATGACCTCTTGGTACTCACAGTTTTTCCAAAGTCGATTAGTCTTTGAATCTCCTTCAGGATCATTTAATCTTCAAGTTTTATCATTCTGTCTCCTATTATGCTTCCCCAGCAGTGCAGGCTGCACTTGACATCTTTTTTTTAGTACTTGCCCCTGAACAAAATGCTGCAGGTGGCTTTCTCAGTCTAAAATTTCACACATCACCAAGATGGTTTATTTGCTTCCCCTCAGCTGGTCTGTTTCAAATGGCTTTACAAGATGTACACAAATGAAACCTAGTGTGACTTTGATTGCTTCAGGATCCCAGTCTGTATGGGACCAAGCATTTCCTTGATAGTGTATCTTGATCACATTTGTTTTGCCTTTCGTTTTTAATAGTGTACCATGTTCATGTTTATTTTGCCTTTGGCTTTTGCACATAAAATCTCTGTGTGTGCATAAACCCCTTCGAAGTTATTACTTCCCTCCGAGATATTTACTGAATTAAGGACAGCTCTGCACTGAAAAGACATCAGCCCCAACATCTCCTTTGAAAAAGAAAACTGACCCTGTTTCCTGGTTTGCATTTTCCTCAAACAATTGACCACAATTGTTAGAAACAAAGAGAGCCAGATTTATGCTTCCTAAGCATTTGGAGATATAGCTATGAATATGCTAAAGATTGATATGTGCTGGTTCTCCAGCCTTCAGAGCAGTTTGGAATTCAACTCTGCACTGGACATCCCAGTGTTCATGACTGCAAAATAAATCTTAGGACGTAAAAAAGAACAAAATAATCGTAGTGCTCGAGCCTCTAACTTAAGAGTTAAACCTCATTGATTAAACTCTATTTTCAGAATTCTTGTATGTGGCACATTCTCAAAACCAAAAATTAACTGCCTAATTTAGGAACCACTGCTACATGTCAGACAAAACAAAATTCCATCTATCTAATTATCCCGTTCCATCTTTCTAATTATTTACATTTCCAGTGA